GAGGAAGAGGAGGAGTGCAATGAGGCTGCGGAGCTGAGGATGGCACTGTGGTAGTGCCAGTGGGCAGCTCTGCACCGCAGCAAACGGAAACGCACTCCATGCCCGTTTGGAATAAGGCGATAAATCGTGTTGCTTATTTCCTTCCATTCATTAAGATCGTCTACAGCTCCCTGTGCATCCCTCGCCTTGCGCAGAAGCTGCATTTCTTGGAAACCGGCTGCTCTAAAGCAGGAGCTGTGCCTCAGAAGCGTACCTCACCGCCGCCTCGCCGCAGAACAAACAGAAACGAGTAGTGCGTGTCCCAAGTCATGAACAAAGAGCAACAGGTCATATATATGGTATTACCTCTACTCATTTTTGTCTCTCTTATGCACTGCTCTAGCTGAAACGTGGCTGTGTGGAGAGAGGAAATTGAGAAGTAAATTGGGAAGACAGTAATGCAACATGAGGACTGATTAGGAAAAAATGAAAAGGAGAAAAAATTCAAACAGCTGAGCACTGACAAAGAAAATGGAGCCACCCAGGCAATGCTACCCTGCCAGGCAGTCACCTCACATGCAGATCCTTTAATTTGGTAGCAAATTAAATTGAAATTTAATTTCCTAGCAAATTACAACCTTCCTCCTTCCTGCCCCAAAATAAAGCACTCACAAAAGCAAGTGCGAAGCACATTCAAAGCAGATCTTGTAGTCAGCAAGACCTGGAATCTACTACTGGTATCAAGTGGAGAATGCACAAGGAGAGGCAGAAGGGCCAAAGATGGCATCTCCCGGAGCAGTGACAGCAAGGAAAGCAGCCTGGCAAGGAGTTGGGGGTTTCCTCAGAGCAGAAAGCCCTAATGCTTTTCTAGAGATGACGACCACCTCTGGGGCACCCTCCCCTGGGGTAACCCAAAGGATTGCACGAATCTGAAATTCAGAGAATTTATACTAAAGCACCAATAATCCCAGCTCGAGGTGGGCTGGAGAGGTCATGCCCCAAGTATGTGCTGCAATAACTCAGCCACTGGCAATGGCTTCACCCTACCCATCCCTCGGCAAACAAGCCTGCTCTCCATAAAAACTACCTGCTCGAGTTAAACCCACCACCCAGCGCAGCAGCTGCGGGAGGAAACGCTCCTACCAGCTCCTCACAAGCAGCACGATGTAGTGAACAATCACCCTGGTTTTCCTCAAAATTGTAATTTTTAAATAAGGGGGAATTATTGGGAGGAGAGGAGGAGGCAGAGAGCAGAGCAGCTCTGAGCTGGGTGTACGTGCCCGGCCGGGGAGAGCCCTGCAGAGGCTGCAGCGCCAGGGACCAGTCCTAACGACAGACAGTGGAGCAGGGAGCTGGGGGGGGTGGTGTGTGGGGGTGATGGAGGGCATGGGTGTCCCTGCTGACAAGACCCCAGACAATCTGACTCCCCCCCAGGACAGCCCAGCTCAGCATGTCCTGCAACCCCCCTGCTCCCTGTCCCTGCAGATGCCCAAGGTGCTGCTGTGCCATCTGCCCACCCGAACCAGGCGCCCACGAGGGACACGCAGCACACGTCTGGGCTGGGCTGCAGGCAGCAGTCTGGGCAATTGTATTTAAAAATTGTTTTCTTTGAAAAAACCCCTCAGACTTATTTGCTTTCTCTTCATTTGCTTTCTGAAGAAAACAAAACAAACCACAGCCCAACCCAGAACCCTCTTTTCAGCCCCATCCTGACACAAAACACACTCTCTACTTTTCCTCATTAAAGGGTGCAGAAATTCAGATTTATGCCTACGAGGCACAGCCCAGCTCCTGTTCAAGTCAGTGGGCTCTTTGCACAGATTTTGCGAGTGTTACTTTTTGTGCTGGACACGGCAGATCTAATGTGGGAAAGCCAGAGCTCGCTGAACGCCTCTGGCACGCCCCAGGCAGGGACAGAACTGCTGGCTGAAGGTGATCGGAGCCTGGGACAAGCTGCAGCCGCTTTGAGTCTCAGGCCACGTTGCCCACACGCTGCCCAGCATGGCCAATGCCACCTCGCTCCCTCCCGGAGCCCTGTGACCCCTACAGCATCTGCTGACAAAGCTTCGTCCCACAGGGACCTGCCTTCAGCACAGGAAATCTCCATCCAACTAAGCTGAAACACAGCAGCATGACAGAAAACTACAAACCAAGACGGGCCGTTCAAAGGGGTGGGAGGAATACGGTTGTCCTATTAGTATCTCCAGTTTCTCCCCGTGACAGGTCCTGGCCGTTCCTCTCTGGAGTCAACGCCTGGCAGGGACACTGCCGGGAACCTCAGCACGCTGATGACACCACCACCTAAGCCGAGCAGTGCGCACCGGACTGGGACAGCGCCCAGATGCTGCTCCGCTCCCGCACCAGTGTGACGCCTGCCATCTCCCACCCTGGCCACCCTGAGCCAGCCGGGGCTGGTGGAGGCAGCCGGGAGGCTGGAGCAGCAGCACCCCATCTAGAAAGCCTCTCTCTACTTGCTTTGTCGAGGTTTTTATCCTAATGAGGTTCCCACTCCCAGGAGCACAGAAGATGGAGAGCAGGACAGCCTGCATTTACCAGCAGCTAAAAAATGAAAGAGAGCAAGAGAGAGGGAAAGTCCCGAGGAGCGCTTGGTGCGCGGTGCCCGGCGCAGGCGCTTCAGGAGCGATGGTGAAGGATGGGGAAAGGGGGCTTTGCTGCAGGATGGGGAAAGGGGGGGTTTGGTGCAGGGGAGCGGCGCGAGGAGTGGAGGTAAGAGGGGTGCTCGCACGCACGCCCGGCCCAGGGGAAGGAGGGGAAAAATCCCGGGCCCACGTGCCTGCGGAGAGGCTGCCCCAGCCAGGGGAGAGAGGAGGACCGTAAGCATGGGTGGAGAAGCAAGGGGGAAAGACAACCTGTAAGAAAGGTACAGATCAGTCATTTAACTGCCATCGGTGCCCTCCTGCCTCACACCTCTCCTGAAATGCTTTTAAATCTTTTCTGATGGAATGTTTGACATATTTAATGCATGCAGTAAAAATTAAAGTAATAGATAACTTCATATTAATCTGTACAGGGACTGACAGGCTAGATTTAATCACTTCCTAGCTGTTCAGAGAGTTAACTTATTCTAGCGTGATTCAAAGGAAAGGTAAAGGATTTTTTTTTTTTTTAAATCAGCCATTTCATAGTAAGAGAAAAATGTGCCGCAGCCTCGTGTGCGTCAGCGCTGGGGGAAGGGAATACCTGCAAGAGAGCCAGAGGTGCTCTGCGAAGGGCATGCAAATCTCAAGCGCCTTGTTTCATCCTCTAAACGGGTACAATGAAAGATTCAAAGACGATTATCTGCTTTCCACCTCCAGTCCGTGGGCTTTGGGATCTGGGGTTCAATGCCAACCACGAAAGCAATTCCCGTTTCAGCCTAGCCCTCTCTAGCCTCTGTCCCCAGGACAGGCATCTCTCCAACGCGTGGGCTGCCCCGGAGCCTTGCTCTGAGCAGGGACAAGGAGCTGAGCAAGGACCTGCAAGCAGCTATTAAAGGTTGGGTGACCACGGAGCCTGCCCAGTGCCCTCTCAGGCACTGCTGCTTTCTGCACGGGAGGAGGCTTGCACGGGCATTCATGCAAACGGACTTTGTGCAGCAAAGTGAAAGCAAAGCCATGGAGATGCAATGGCTGAGCAGGGTCCTTTCCCCGAGCGCAGACCGCAGCAGTCCCTTCTCAGCCGCTGAGCGCCGCAGCCCGGCAGAGCCAGCACAGCCACGCGCTCTGTGCACTTCTAACAGGTTTTTCTCAGAGGTGCTCAGCACCGTGACCGTGTTCTGCCACTGCAGACTCCCAGCCGGCTTTTAAACATGTTGCAGAGGCTCGCAGAGGAGCCCCGCAAACGTGTCGTGCAGGACAGGGCAGAGGCTTGGCCGCTTCCAGACTCCACAGCACCAGACAGAGGCAAGGACAAACCAACCGCACCTTGCTAGTAAAAGGATGAAATGCAAATTATGGTAAAAAATAAACTTAAATCAGTCCCTTCTCTCAACCCTATTCCAACTGCAAATCCCGGCTTAGGCGGGTGCTAGGCAAGACATGCATCAGAGCACAGGGCGAGGGCCAGGGCTGCCCTTCTGCAGAGCACCAACAGCAGAAGGAGCCTGAGCCCATAAAAAGGGAGAGATCCAACCTTCAGCCACGCGCTGCAGAAACTTGCTTTGCCATCAGAGACCACGGAAATCACCACGAGCGCAGCAAAATGGGAGAAGGAGGTCTGTCCAAAAGCAGGGCACGGCAGGACCGATTCGCCCCTGAAGCTGGCGAGAAATAAAGACGGATACAGCCCAGCGTGCCCGCCCGGCAGCAGTGGATGCGGCAGCCCGGTACCCACGGCATCTCCTCTGCCGCCTCTGCCTGAGCGGGACCTCCACACCCCACGGGCTGTGCAATGGGGCAGCGATCAGCAGTACGCACACCAGTAGCTAATTAATACTTTATGCAGGTAACAATATGGGACACCACCAGCTGCTACTAACGAACTGACAAAGGACAGATTCACCTTTCTCTCCCTCGCTGATGGGAAATGGTTTTGGTTTTGCTTTAAATGCCACTAAGACAGACAGAAGGAGGATGCTGAAGGAAAGGGAAATGTTTGCGTGCACCCAAAGGCTGCCGAAAGCTACTTCATGTGCACGAAGGTGGTTTTCTTTCTGCTACAGTACAAGTGCTTGTGCCTCAAGTATAAAACGCAAGCCTCCAAATCACACAGACGAGCTTCTTATTTTTATTTTTAAAGTGATAAATAAGGCACTGTACTTTTAACTAAAACTGTCTGGTTCCAAGTTTAAAAAAAAACCCAAGGAACGTTCAAACTGCAGAAACTTCCTTCTGAACAGCAGAGCCAGACAGGCCGACCTCTTCTCTGTCCGAGACACATCTGCTGATGCCTAAAATCACGGGCGTTATCCTTTAACTGCGGATTTTTAAAGGCTTGCTACAGCTTATAAAAGCAGCTTTAGTTAATGCATGGTAAAGGGTTACTACTATACATCAGTTTTGTACATGGCTACCGGTTCTTTGCTATTTCGGGTCCAGTCGTGAGCGCTTGCTGTGCGAACAGTCCACTTTTGCCCTCAGCTTCCTCTTGCCCTGCGACCCACTGCTCTCCTGCATCTTCTTCATGGACCTCGTCAGGGTCTTCCCACCACTGGGCTTTTTGTTGGCCATCTTCTGTGACCGTGTGGAGGACTCCCCCAGGGGCTTCTGCTTTGGGGACTTGGCCAGCTCCTCGTGGCCGGGGGGCAGCACGGCCCGTCTGCTCGTGTTCTCCTTGCCCTTCCGCATGGGGAGCCGCACCTTCCCCAGCTGCCTTTTCGGAGCTCTCTTCTCTTTCAAAGACATTTTTCTTGCCAGCTTATTGCTCCTCTCCATGGCAGTCTGCTTTCGGGTGGCGGGAGCTTTCGTGCTGATCTCCGAATGCTTTATTTTACTGGCCTTCTTGGCAGGCAGCTTGTCCTTGGTGGAGGAGCCGGACCGCTCCTGGGTGCTCCCGCTCTCCTTCAGCGTCCTCTTCTTCCTGCTG